ATATTCATGTTTTTTTCTTGGACCTTGATGTGAATTTAAGATTCTTGATAAGCATTGGCTTTTTGCAATTTCACACGTGTACAAACAGTAGCTTCATTCAGCTGATGTTAATGAATGCAAGAGATTTGATTGGCCACTTTCATTTTTTCAAAGAAGCTCTCAGATGAAGAAAGGTTGGAGACCCCTGCTCTAGTGTAAAAATAGACTGTATGTTAAAATTGACGGTGCAACGGCTGCAGTCAAAGGAGAAAGATTTAGAGCGCCCCCTGCTGACTGGCTGCAGTATAGGTCAAACTCCAACCTCCTCCATGATAACAGAAAGGCCATGGGGGTCAACAATGAAATCTAAATGCATGCATCTGTTCTTCTGTTGACTGAACACACCTGAGGGATTTTTATGTTTCTCTGTACGTTAAATGTTTTCGTTAGAGGAAGTAGCGTGACGTCTTCCAGTGGATCCCTACTACGCAGACTCTGGTTGCAAATATGCAATATGTAAGCGCCCATCATGAGGATAATTTGGCTTCATCTTGTTCAACAGAAGGAGCCTGAGGGATGTTGTCCATTTGTATATACAGTTAAAGGAAGAGTAGAAGATGTTCACTTGTTTCTACAGTTAATCTGCAAGTCGTTGAGACCAGACATCATCCAGTCTGAAGGTGTAGAGAACGTTAAATGTGTTATTTAGACCTGTGAACTTTACGGTTGTAAGAGGACGTATTGATTATCAGAGAGAAGAACGTCACTTTAGAGATGTTATATTTAGAGGGTAATCCCTCTCCTTCACCATTGTAGGATGAAAAGACAGTTTTATGTATTTTTGATGTGGCTGGGTCAATAATGCTCGTTTAGGAAGTGAAGGGCAAGAAATTCTTCATCATCCAAACATCGGTGAGTGCTAACAAGCTAACATAAGTTAAGGTTAGCTGACGATAGTATCTGGGTCTCTGTCAGTCAGTGTTCTGGGCAGTAATGTTCGTTAAAGGCAGGAATATTTAGATCAAGTTAACACAATCTTTAATGTCATGATGAGGAGAAGTCTGTTCTTTTGTTCCCTCACAGGGACAGCAGAGCGTCTAACAGCATTAATCCACAATCTCCTCCTCTCTGGGTTTTCTTTCAAACATTCTGTAGAAGAACAACCCGGGCTCGTCTCCTCGTCGGTTAGTGCATCACATTCAACAACAACTGTCTCTCATTTGAAACATGGAAAAATTAAACTGATAAAAAAACACTGAGACCAATAACTTCTCAGTAGCGTTCAGCTACAGAGTCTTTATCGCCCGCCAGGTGGGCGGTTCCATAAGCGTGTGATGTCATGTGAAAACTATGAATTGATTATTAAAGACTTTTTGCCATACTTGGATGGTCTGTGGTAAGTTTGCTGTTGAAGTAAGTGTGAAGACTTTAAAAAAAGCAGAACTATGAGGTGTGAGAAACAGAGCAGACACTCATACTTAAAAATACGATCTTAAAAGCTGTCAACGCATCATGGAAACAAGTTTCCATCCAAAAAATGTTAAAAAGGATAAAAAATACATGTCGATAGAAACTGTATGAAAGATTCTGAAAACAAACTGCTTAAGAAATAATATGAAAAAGGCGATCCAACTAAAGATCTTCCTGTTAGACATTAAAACAGATATACAATGATATACATTAAAACTGTGTTTATAGTGTTTCTGAGAAGATTTCCTGTAACATCAAGCACACTTTTCAGTCTGCATTAATCAGTCCCACATCTCCTCAGATTTCCCTCTTTAGATTAAATGAATGTAACTGTAGATATGAAGTACCTGACACAGAGAGGAGGAGGACGATAAATCCACTCACTGCTGCAGTTAAAGTCATCGCTGCTCCTCTCATCTCTCTGTGTGACTTTAGGGACAATAAAACATGTTAGCAGATTAATAAGAACACAGCAGGACTCAAACAGTATCAGACATGTTGATAAATTATTCTACTTACAGTGAAGAAGGATATCGTCTGAGAGAAGACTGTCCTCCTCTGCAGTGAGTGAACAGAAGACAGATATCAGGGTTTTTAACGCCTACATTTCCTTCCTCTTTAGATGATTAACATATATGATCAGTCAAACAGGAAGAACTCACGTCACAAATAAGTCCTATTGGTACCAAACTTGTTTTAGGGCAAACTTATTTTTTTTACAGGACATAAAAACTGAACAAGGGGTTATCTTCAAAATGTGAGACCCTTGGGTGCAGGAGCATCAACACTGGGGTAGCCCGACTGGTGCACTGACTGACGCAGGGGTGGCCTTCAAAAACACACACAAATAAATAATAATAAATGATTTACCTTTAAAAATAACCTATTAAAATTCACCTGTTATATCTCAGTTATAAAACAAAATAATGGAAACATAAATACATTTTTAGCTTCATTCTTTATTGACACAAAAATAAGATGTATGCTAAAAGTCCAAATTTAAAGTACTTACCATTTGCACACAGTCAAACTTGCAAGATTACATGAATTAGCAATGTGTTGGTCCTGTACATGCTAGTTACTTCATTGCAAGTATGACAGTGTGCATTACCGTCCTATGCACCGGTCTTGTGAAATAGATATGCAAAGTATTTATTATTATTATTTTAACTATTTATCAAACAATTAAAAATGATTCATTGATGCAGGAGCCTTAAAAAAGAGTCAGTTTTATCATTAGTCTCAGCTCTGACAGGGTGAATAGCCAATCACAGTTCAGGATAATTTTTTTTGGGGGGGGGGTACTCATGAGCTGGTCAAGTGGATTAATCATAGAAAGATAAAATAGATTTCATAGGAATATTTTGCAGCAGAACAGAGTTCAAAGAGAAGCATGCTGAGAACAAAGGTTTTTTTTTTTTTTATATTTATTTTTGAATCCCACTAATCTTTGTACAGTCCTGTACAGTTCATCTGTGCACTGAGGCAGGATGTTTAATAGTCTGCAGCTGAGTTGAACCAAGGGCTAGAGTTCAGGGAGCAGAAAAGTTCAGGTGGGCGGCAGGGCAGAGGGAGAGCAGGAACCTGAAGGGCATGAGCGCAAATAGTTCAGGAGGGAGGACGGGAGGCCGACCAAACGGTGAGAGCAGTTTGGGAAGGCGGCGGCGAGGAGATTTCTGTCTTGCCGTCAACGTAAAAACATGGGCAGGTATAGGCCAGGCCACTGACAGGCCCAAAAGAGTGGGCAGGGCCTACAACAGGGATGCAGTTGTTGGCAGGGCCTCCCACTGGGACACAGCAATGGACAGACATGCCAATGGGGAACCAGGCCTCAACAGGAAGTTAAGAGGGCTGGAGCTGAAGATGCTCTGGCAGGACAGGAGCACAGGCTGAGGTTCTGGGACACAGGTTGGCTGAGGTTCTGGGCACAGGTTGGCTGAGGTTCTGGGCACAGGTTGGCTGAGGTTCTGGCACAGGTTGGCTGAGGTTCTGGGGCACAGGTTGGCTGAGGTTCTGGGGCACAGGTTGGCTGAGGTTCTGGGACAAGGTTGGCTGAGGTTCTGGGACACAGGTTGGCTGAGGTTCTGGGCACAGGTTGGCTGAGGTTCTGGACACAGTTTGGCTGAGGTTCTGGGGCACTGGGTGGTCTCAGGCTCTTGAGAGCATGGAGGCTGGGTCATGGAAGCACGGGGGCAGAGTTACTGGGAAGCACAGGTACTGGGTCACTGGGAACCCTGTTAGCTGAGGCTCTTGGAAGTGGGAAGGATGAGGCTCGCACACCAGTTGCTGAGTCTGAGGCTTTGAATGGCAAACCAGCTGCTGGGACTGTGGAGACTCAGGGAAGCTGGGTAACGAAGACTCGGGGCGTTGCTCGATGGATTATACATTATATCATAAATCAAATGATAAATTAAAATGTTTATTTATCCCGTTTAGGGAGCACTGAATGATGAAGCCTGAATGTGAGAATAAAAGCCTCTCCACTAGAGGGCAGTGAAACATCAGAGAGTCAGAGTCAGGACATTTACATTTTGTCATTCATCTCTGATTGTTTGGAAAAATGAAATTTACATTTGATCCCTTTTTACATTGTTTGCAGAAGTATTTCATTGAAATTTGGTTCAGGAAGTGTAAACATTTTACATTACTCATTTACATCTGTGACACATTACAAGAGAACCATTTAAGTAAAACTTGTAAGTGAATAAAAGCAAGGATATAAGCAACAGGTGAACTAACTACAGACATTTAGATGAATGCCAAACGTGTGGTGACAGTACAACCTTTGTGCTCGGTGTGTTTCTGCTCTCTTACCGACACCACACACAGGCTACAGGTGCATTTAAATCTGACCACCTGGAATGGGCATGGTAGCTGTAGCAAACCCAGCTACAGCAATTGATGAATCCTTGATCTGTTGGTTTATGTTACTTTACTTTTTTGCTTCATGCTGTGCAATAACTCACAAACAAACCGTAAGAGCTGTACATAAAACATAACAGAAAGACAAACTTTATAAACATGCAAATAACCATTAAAACCAAAACAGAGAAAAGGACCATAAATATTTACAATATTAACACATAACAAGAGATAAGATATAAAAATAGATAGTCAGGTTAATTTAGAACATTTTTACCAAGTCAAACAACAAAGTTAAAGAACCATATTAATAACATTTACTAACTACACCAAAGAATATATATAAATCACGTATTGATAACTATAGGCCTTAAATACACGTAAAATGAGCAATTAAATTTAGCAAAAAAATCAACATAATAACTACATTTAACAGGACTCAATTAACCAAGGTCTAAGGGCGAGCGAATGAGATAGCATGGCTAAGCTAAAGGCTAGCACGCTTAAATAAATCACTGAAAACATCATCAAAGCTTCCCCCACAAAACAATAAGAAACAGATGAATACAAAATAAGAATCTTCACAACAACAATTAACAATAAAGTTAAATACTTTTTAACTAGTAATACTTGTTTGATTTCTTTAAACCTGAGTCTTGTAACATCATTTATCTGTTTTAAGTCATTTATTAAATGCAGGTCTAGCTGCGTTCTTGAAGGAGTCTGTCCCGAGAATTCATTCTCAAAGTGGTTTCCTGTAAGGATTTCATTGGATGAGAGTAAACTAGAGGTTTCTTTGTCCATGTTTGTTGACTGTACTGTACAATGCAGCTGGATCTGGTGCTGAGAAGAAGAAAGACATGAGATTATATGATAACAGGCCAACAGTGATCACGGTAAATGATGAAAACACAATAAACAGAAGGATGAAAACAATAGTTTTGTGGTTAAAGATCATGTTATGTGAGGAGTTGTTTTACCTCTGGGCTGCACCGCCGCTGTTAAAGTTAACCACAGAGTACTCAACCATCTCCTCTTGTTCTCCTTCTTCTTCTTCCTTCTTCTTCTTCTTGTGTGTTTGGGGTTTAACTGGTTGGATGTTGGAGTAGAGAGGATCAGCCTGGTTCCTGGAAAAGTCGACAGTGGCATATTGAAGCTCATCCTGCTCCTCTGCTGGTTGTATCTGTGAACACCGGACAACAAAGAGTATTCAATTATTTACAGACAGACTTTTGAAAGACAGGATTCAAGGCTTGAGTTATTTACAGAGACAGAAGTTGTAATTTTACTGAAAGCAAAAGAGGGAACTTGAGACTTGAATCAGAAACCAATCCTGTTTTTGGTGTTTCATTAAAAGCAGTTCATAATGTTATGGTTTGCCTTGTTGAATGCTGATGATCCTTGGGTGTCTTTATCAGGCCAGGAAAGCAACGCAACCCAAAAGGTCTCACTTTCCTTTTTTGGGGAGCTCTCAGAAAATCATCAGTTTTTGGAAAAACCCAACATGTGAAGCACCAGGATGGAGAGAGCAAAAGCTGAAGCACTTACAGCAAACAAATAGGACAAACATTGCTGTAGGCAAACAAATCAAACACTATGTCAAGAGTTCAACCGTCCCTGATTCATAAATTCAGAGACTTCCTCACCTGTTCACTGTTCTCTGTCTGTCTCCGGGCTCAGACGGTTGCTTGCAGGCCTCTTCTTTCTGTGAGGTGCATTCAAATAGAAAAGTAAACCATATTGTTGTTGTGAGGGTACAATGCATTAATCATGAACAAGTTTGCTGAAAAAGAACTGCTCACATGATCCATATGACGACAAAGATGAGTATGATAATGAGGAAAATAGCAGGAACTGTCACAGCAGTCGTCAGTTTCCATCCTCCTGCTGAAACAGACAGAGACAGAAAGTTAACCTTACAAGTAAAAAACACATGAACACATTCTTACAACTTATTGTATTTCTTTTGGTGAAATTGAAAAAGAAATAAGACCCAAACGAAGGACAAACACCCTGTTACTGTTAAAAACAGACTACGATACTCACTTTTGACATTTATCAAAACATTATTGTGACAAAGACTTAAAAATGTAACGTTTAGTTCAGCATCTCAAAACTACTCAACCAGGCATGCAACAGGAGGAACTTCATTTACCTAAAGCAAGAACCAACTCAATTAAACAAACAGTAAATGTTTCGAGCAATGCAGGAATGAACTCACTTCAAGATACATGAACTAAGAAAACAAGAAAACTAAATTCAAATGTTATTAAAAGCAGTATCTTTTGACCGAGTAAATTCATCTATTGCCACCAACAAGCTATACATTTTATTTGATTTATGTTCCTCCTGTAACTCTTTGATTGTTCTATTTGCTTATTGTTTATGTGTATTGTTTAGACAGATGCATTTTGCAGGTACATGTATATAATTCTTTAACTCATCAGTAGATTGTGTACAGAGGAACTGAACGGGTTCAAATGTCACTGCCATGGATTGAACAATCGTATGATCATAATTTCTAGAAGCTGTCCTCACCCTGTCATTGTGTTCATGTTTTGTCTTGCTGTTAGTCCTGTAATTTATGTGTTAGAGATGAAAGCTGTGTATTGAAGTTGTTTATGTTAATGAGTGTTATGTTGGTTTTAAGTTGTAAGATGACACAGTCACACTGTAATGGGTGTTTGGACCTCAGAAGAAAAGCTGCAGCATTGCTGTAATCCAGTCCGCCTTCCCCTCGTGCCTCAGTGTTGCAGAGGTACTGTCAGCCTAACCTTAACCTGATATCCTAAGAAACTAAACTGAAC